GCTATATGGGCTACACAGAAGGGGAAATTACAGCAGAGGTTAAAGAGGTAAGAGACTATTTTTTATTATAGTGATAAGAAAGAGATGAAATGAAGAGGTAATATGTACACTGGGTTTTGAATGACTGGAATTAATCTTACAGTGGCAAATTTGAGGACTGGGGATGGTGAGGACTTAGAGTAGCATGAGTAGAAGCATGGAACCAGGAACATGTAGGAACAGGAGGTGGAAAAGGCAGGTTGGCATCAAATCAAAGAGAGCCTGAAATCCCCTAATAAAAAGTTTTACTTCATCCTACAGGCAAATGTAAATCATTAAAGGTTTTTCACTGTTAGAGATGCCATAAGGTCATTTATTAAAGGTATTCTTTTATAAGATGAAGAGAATAAATTCAGGAAATATATGAGGGCACCAGAGATAGTTAAGATGCAACTTATATGACAGTCAAAGTGAACATCAGAGGAGTGTGAGAGATCCTATTAAAAAAAGACACCACACACACACACACACACACACACACACACACCAGATTTGGCAGTTTAGAAGTTATCACCCAAAAGAACTCTCAATTTTCAAACTTCAGTGGCTCAGAGAATAACAGTCATTAATAGAAACAGAAAAATGAGATAAAGAGATGGGTTTGAGGAGGAATGAAATGATAAGTTCAGTTTTAGTCATGTTGAGGTTGAGTTTCAGGGAGCCATCTAACTGGCAAAATCCAAAAGGAAAGAGTGTGGGACTAAAGCTAAATATGAAAAGATATATATATATATAAAGAAGGGGAGTGGTGTGGAGGGAAGGAAGAGTCACCTACACAGAAGCTTTAGCTGAATCCGTGAAAATGGTGAGGATTACTGGGAGGGAGAGGGAGTAAGGTCATAGTCTCAAAGGAAACACCATGTAGTCACGAGTATGGGTGTTGTATTAACTCTGGGAAAGAGTAAGAATGTTTTTCTTTGAAATATGCAAAGCAGAGAAAGTAAGTATAGGTGAAATCACTAAGAACTATCGAAGACCTTTTTCTATAAAGAAGGGAGCAGGCTGTATTAGATACTGAAAGCTAATGAAAAATATTCTACTGTGGGGATTTAACTGAAAATCAAGGAGTCAATAAGAAGACTTTGAATAGTTATAGAAATCCAATTAAAGTTAGACAAAATTTAAAAATTGTGATATATACAGCCATCTCAATATTATGACCTCTAAGAGTACTAGAAGCAGAGAAACCAGACAATGGGGCCCTGGGGAATGGAAACGATAATGGGACACAGTACAAAACATCCTATGACAAAAAATTCAGTAAGTGATAGCAAAATCAGTGTTGAAGAAGCAGATACAAGACCTACACTGGAGGATGACATAGGCAAAACTAGAAAGGTACTAAATGGCCAGGAAAAATGGAGAAGTAGAGCTCAGACCAAAATGAGAGAAGAAAAGTTCAGAAGTGATAGAGGGTGAAGGTAAGAAAACTGTGGTCAAAGAGAAAATACTTTTAGGGGTGCCTGGGTGGCTCAGTTGTTAAGCATTTGCCTTTGGCTCAGGTCATGGTCCCAGGGTCCTGGGATTGAGCCCCGCATCGGGCTCCCTGCTCCGTGGGAAGCCTGCTTCTCCCTCTCCCACTCCCCATGCTTGTGTTCCCTCTCTCGCTATGTCTCTCTCTGTCAAATAAATAAATAAAATCTTTAAAAAAGAGAGAGAAAATACTTTTAAATTCAATTATTTTGGAGGTAGTGCAGCCCTCAGTAATGACAAAGCCAAAGCAGTATAGTTTAATGGCTAAAGTAGAGATGAAATTCAATGGAAAAGGAGGACATGTAAATGCCCTCCATGCCCATTTGGAAGAGTTCCATGAGTTCCTACTCCACAGTGCCTGAATGGAACACTATACATCTCAAAGTACTCGATAAACAGCAATGGAAAAGCAACCTATATGTCATCTGTTCTTTTGTTCATTCCTTCAATTATTTCTTCATCTAACAGTTACTGAGCACTTTTTAGAATGTGAAGTACTGGGCGCCTGGGTGGCTCAGTTGGTTAAGCGACTGCCTTCGGCTCAGGTCATGATCCTGGAGTCCCGGGATCAAGTCCCGCATCGGGCTCCCTGCTTGGCAGGGAGTCTGCTTCTCCCTCTGGCCCTCCTCCCTCTCATGCTCTCTGTCTCTCATTCTCTCTCTCTCAAATAAAATAAATAAAATCTTAAAAAAAAAAAAAAGAATGTGAAGTACTAAGAGTGGAAATAGAGCAGTTTCTTTAGTAACAACAGCTAAAGTCTGTGAAGTTCTCACTATAGCTAGGCATGATTTCAACAAATTTGCATTTAACTCATTTAATCTTCAAAAAAACTCTATAATAAAGGTAGGTACTTTTATTATCTTCATTTTATAGATGAGGATATGGGAACTCAGAGAGACTAAGTTCAATGTGAAGAGTTAAATATAAGTGGTGGCACTGGGATATAGACTAAGACATTTGGGCTCCATAGTCAAGTTCTTCATCACACTTCACTATCTCTGGGAGGAGAATCTTTACTTTTTTGCCAATCAAATTAACATTTAATTATATATATATATATATATATTTTTTTTTTTTTTAAGATTTTTATTTATTTATTTGACACAGAGAGATAGACGGCGAAAGAGGGAACACAAGCAGGGGGAATGGGAGGGGGAAGAAGCAGGCTTCCCACTGAGCAGGGAGCCTGATGCGGGGCTTGATCCCAGGACCCTGGTATCAGGACCTGAGCTGAAGGCAGATGTTTAATGACTGAGCCACCCAGGTGCCCCTAATTATATATTTCTAAATGTTCTATCTTCTGCATACATTATTTAGGAAAATACATATAAAGATTCTCTTGTATCACATGTATTTTAAATATCAAAGCTATCAGAGTCTAAGACTTTTAAAACTTTCTTTTCTTATTTCTTCTGAGCAAAAGCTCAGAAATTCCAAAATTGAATCAAATTAGGTACCCAACCTTAAGGAGTCTGAAGTTACATATACTTTAAAAGATAAACAGAAAGAATATGATAAGGACTTAGTGAATTGTACAAGAGGTATGGCATCCAAAGAGAGAGATCACTTTGAGTTTGGGGTATGGGGAGGGAGGGGTCATTCAAGGGAGGCTCCACAGAAGAGGTCAGTTCTGAACTGGGCTTTGAAGAAAAGGGGTGGTATACAAAGGCAGAATGGAGGCAGACGCCATATCAGAGAGAAAGAGAGAACATCATGTGCAAGAGTGTGGAGACCAGAAAAGAAAAGATGTGTTGAGAGGAAATTAACAGCAGCACTCTAGCAAAAAGTTGATGGAGAGATATAACGGTAGAAATGACTAGAAAGGCAAGTTGAGAATAGATCACAGAGAGACTTGAATGTCAGTCTCACCAACCATGGAGGGAATCTCAACTGCCACATTCAGGCTAATTCTTTTTTGTTGTTGTTGTTAAGATTTTATTTATTTATCTGACACAGAGACAGACACAGAGAGAGAGAGAGAGAGCGTGCGAGCACAAGCAAGGGGAGAGGCAGGCAGAGGGAGAGGGAGAAGAAGCAGGCTAATTCCAGGACCCTGGCATCATGGTCTGAGCCAAAGGCAGACACTGAGCCAACCAGGCGCCCCCAAGCTAATATGATTCTTAAAACACTTACCATACTGAATCACAAATTTGCTGAAATGACGCCACATTCATTTATTAAATGGACTAAAATTAAAAAGAAACCTTTAGAAATTACGAAGTTGCTTTTAAAAACATAGCTCAAAGAGTAACTTACAGATCTCCTAGTTCAACTCCATATTAATTTCTTATAGTCTCTTAATAACCACATCCTTGAATAATGTTTTTTAAGCCTCTGTTTGAACACTCTCAAGTGATGGGGAGTTCACAATCTTGTAGGAGCTGGGATACCCTACACCACCTTACCACCTTATCTAATCAAGCCAGTTCCTGGTATAGGACAAAAATAAGTAGAGAAAATGTCATCATGGCATAAAATGTCACTTTTGTACAACTCAATCCTATCAATCAAAATAATTAAAAAAACATCCTCCAATGCCATAATATAAGCTTTCACTGAAGAATAAACATGGAAAACTATCCTCAGTATGAGAGAGTAGACATTCATGGTTTTTGTCACCCAGCACCTTCTTTTTGCCTTTTCTGACTTTACTTGGTGGGGACCATCTTCTACCCTATCAGCAAAGTGTTTCTGGTGAAGACAGCTACAGGAGTGGAACATGTGACTGTGAAATTGTGATTGGTCAGTATTAAGAAAATGACTGGAGCTAAGGTAATCAGCGGTAATCCTATTAGTCCTACCACGGTCCAGAAAGAACAATAGCTTCCTGTAGACTTGGAGCTCCTAGAATGTTCTCCTAATAGTAGGTTATACATCTCAACAATGGGAGGCTGAAATTGCTGCAACCATCTTACTACCACAAAGAGAACCTATCTAAAAACAAAGCCACCCAGAAGAAAAGAGGCATAGAAATAGAAATGGTGGATCTGGGTCCTCATGACATTGGTGAAGTGCCTACTTCAAACCACATCTCAGCCAGATTTACTTTTTTCTTAAACCAGTTTGTTTTTTTTCCCTATTACTTGCATCCCAAAGAGTCCTGGTTAACACATATGGTAACTGCCAAATCCTATAACAAGAAAAGTAGGTCAACCTCTCAGCACTTATTATCATGCATTAGTGCATAATTTGGTTATATCAATAACCAACTACAGATACTAAATTTAAAAATGATCTGGCACATTTTAACATAGCATTTCACATTCAATATCGCCTTGCACTGTCTTATTTTAAGATAAAAATCAGTATTTTACCCTATAGAAAGCACAAGAAAATGCTTTATAACTTTACTATATAACATTATGAAGGCAAGAATAAGCAACTCAGAACTAAGAAGTTTTCATTACATCAGATCACAGTTATTTTAAAAAACAGAAAACAAACAAAAAAACTAATGAACTATCCAGAAGCCACATAAAGACTCTTACTTGAAGCTGAAGAGTATGTCGAAGAATTGTTTCTTCTAAGGCATGGATCCACTTCTCTCGCTCATCAGCATCACGAGCTGGAATAAAAGAGTATAAAAATTAAAATGTTAATTTCTACAATATAGCTTCATGTTTGAAAACAAAAATTTTAAACCTCAATACTAATAAGAAAGGTTTTTAGTTGTGCCATTTTCTTAACAGGTTCACCTTCCTATCTTTTCTAAACATGCAATCTACTTGCAGCAATTTACAACAAAGGGAATAATTATGCTCAATAATAGCAAGCTACTTTCTCACTGAGAACAACTAGAAAAGCTGGAATAATTATTTAAAAATAACCGGTTGAAGACAATAGAAAACAACAAGGTAGTAAAGAATTAACAGGCCAAAATCTAGGAGAAGACAAACATTTAGAAGATAAGCCTCATATTTAAGGACACTTTTCTCCTGGAGGAATTGTAAATTCCAGGAGAGGACACTCATTAAAGAAAATTTGACAAAGTATTCTCCATGCATACATGGATAATGTCTGATGGAAGATGGTAGAAGCAGGAAAGAATAGAGCAACAAAAACAATAAGCCCACAAAACCATAAGAAACCTAGGAATAAACCTAACCAAAGAGGTGAAAGACGAGGACTCTGAAAACTATAAAACACGGATGAAAGAAATTGAAAAGGACACAAAGAAAGACATTCCATAAATGCTCATGGATTGGAAGAACAAATATTGTTAAAATGTCTATTCCACCCAAGGCAATTTATACATTTAATGCAATCCCTATCAAAATACCACAAACATTTTTCACAGAGTTAGAACAAACAATCCTAAAATTTGTATGTAACCACAAAAGCAAAGCAAAGCAAAGCTGGCATCACAATTCCAGACTTCTAGTTATATTCCAAAGCTGTGGTGATCAAAACAGTATGGTACTGGCAGAAAAATAGACACACAGATCAATGGAATAGAATAGAAAATCCAGAAATGAACCCACAACTATATGGTCAATTAATCTTTGACAAAGAAGTAAAGAATATTCAATGGGAAAAAGTCTCTTCAATAAATGGTGTTGGGTAAACTGGACAGGAACATAGAAAAGAATGAAACTGGACCACTTTCTTACACCATACACAAAAATAAAATAAAAATGGATTAAAGACCTAAATATGAGACAGGAAACCATCAAAATCCTAGAGTAGAACACTGGCAATAACCTCTTTCTAACTAAATATGTCTCCTGAAGCAAGGGAAACAAAAGGAAAAATAAACTACTGGGACTTCATCAAAATAAAAGCTTCAGCACAGTGAAGTAAACAATGAACACAACATAAGGCAACCTATGGAATGGGAGAAGATATTTGCAAATGACATATCTGATAAAGGGTTACTATCCAAAATATATAAATATATAAAGAATTTATACAACCCAACACCCAAAAAACAAATAATCCAATTAAAAAGTGAGAAGACATGAACAGACATTTTTCCAAAGAAGACATACAGATGGCCAACAGACGCATGAAAAGATGCAACATCACTCATCATCAGGGAAATACCAATCACAATGAGCTATCACCTCACACCTGTCAGAATGGCTAAAATTAACAACACAAGAAACAACAGGTGTTGGCAAGAATGTGGAGAAAGGAGAAGCCTCCTCCACTGTTGGTGGGACTGCAAATTGGTACAGCTACTCCGGAAAATAGTATGGAGGTTCCTCAAAAAGTTAAAAACAGAACCACCCTAGGACCCAGCAATTGCACTACTAGGTATTTGCCCAAAGGATACAAAAATACTGATTCAAAGGGATACATGCACCTCAATGTTTATTTATCGACAACAGCCAAACTATGGGAAAAGCCCAGTGTCCATCGACTGATGAAAAGATAAAGAAGATGTGGTCTGTGGGGGGGTGGGGAGGGTGTACACGTACATGTGTACACACACACACACACACACACACACACACACACACACACTGGAATATTACTCGGCCATAAAAAGGAATGAAATCTTGCCATTTCCAAGGACATGGATGGAGCTAGAGTGTATTATGCTAAGCGAAATAAGTCAGTTAAATACAAGTACCATATGATTTCACTCATATGTGGAATTTAAGAAACAAAACAAACAAGCATAGGGAAAAAAAGAGAGAGGCAAACCAAGAAACAGACTCTTATTAAGTAAGAGAACAAATTGATGGTTGCCAGAGGGGAGGTGAGTTGGGGGACAGGAGAAATAGGTGATGGGGATTAAGGAGGGCACTTGTGATGAGCACCGGGTATTGTATAGAAGTGCTGAATCACTAAATTGTATACCTGAAACCAATATTATACTGTATGTCAACTGAAATTTAAATAAAAACTTAAAACAAATTTTTTAAATGATAAGTATGTGGGCAAAACTAAATGAATACTAACTACATAAAATACTATCTTGTGAGGTTGTAAATAAATACATACAAAATTAAATACAAAACAATTGCAAATAGATTGGGAAAGAGGAAATGGAGTTAAAGAATTCTCAGGTTCTGCAATGTTTGGGAAGAAGATAAAACTACCAGTTAACATTAGATTTTGGCAACTGAAGGATTTGTTATAATTTTTAGAGTAATCGCTAGAAGGTTAAGTGTTTAACTTCCAAAATAATAAATTTAAAAATTCAATAATGAAAAATAATCCAAAACCTGACAAGAAAGAAAAATAGAAGAAACAGAGTATGAAGGGGTGCCTGGGTGGCTCAGTCGTTAAGCGTCTGCCTTTGGCTCAGGTCCTGATCCCAGGGTCCTGGAATTGAGCCCCACATCGGGCTCCCTGCTTGGTGGGAAGCCTGCTTCTCCCTCTCCCACTCCCCCTGCTTGTGTTCCCCTCTTGCTGTGTATCTCTCTGTCAAATAAATAAAATCTTAAAAAAAAAGAGTATGCAAGACAAAAAGAAAATATATGGTAAGATGATAAATTTTTAACCCTAAAATACCAATAATTAAATTAAGTGTAAATGAAGTATGTAAATGTTCCAATTAAAACAAAAAGGGAGGGACACCTGGGTGGCTCAGTTAGTTAAGCATCCGACTCTTGATTTTGGCTCAGGTCATGATCTTGGGGTGGAGAGACTGAGTCCCACACTGGGTTCTGCTGCCGTGGGCATGGAGCCTGCTTGGGATTTCTCTCCCTCTGCTCCCTCTCCCCTCAAATAAATAAATCTTAAAAAAAAAAAAAAAAAGGGTTTAGGGACGCCTGGGTGGCTCAGTTGGTTAAGCATCAGACTCTTGGTTTTGGCTCAGGTCATGATCTCATGGTTCCAGGATCTAGCCCCACAACCAGTTGCACGCTCAGTGCAGTCTGCTTGTTCTTCTCCCTCTGCTCCCACCCCCACCATTTAGCATGTGTGCATACTCTTTCTCTCTCAAATATACAAATAAAATCTTAAAAAAAAAAAGTTTTTTTAAACAAGATTTTACGATGCTTACAAGAGACACTTACTAAACATAAGGATACAGAAATATTAAAAGTAGGAGTATAGAGAAAGACCAAAAAAAAAAAAAATTGATCATAGAAACACTAAATTCCAAAAAAGTTGCTATTATTAAAATTGCATAAAATAGACTTTACCAGGAAATCAGAGGCTCACTTTGCAAATACAAGAGGTTCAAGTCATCCAAAAGACAGAATGTAAATTTCTATGTAACTAATAACATGGATTCAAAAAATGTTCTATATGGCAAAAACATATAGACTATAAGGAAAAATAGACAAAATATCACAATCATAATGGCAGATTTTTTTTTTAAAGGTTTTATTTATTTGACAGAGAGAAAGACAGCCAGAGAGAGAACACAAGCAGGGGGAGTGGGAGAGAGAGAAGCAGGCTTCCCGCGGAGCAGGGAGCCTGATGCGGGGCTCGATCCCAGGACCCTGGCGCCCCATAATGGCAGATTTTAATACATCTCCTTCATTAACCAATTAGACGAAGCAGACAAAAAATTAGTAAAAATCTAGAAGATAAAGGGGTGCCTGGGTGGCTCAGTCATTAAGCGTCTGCCTTCGGCTCAGGTCATGATCCCAGGGTCCTGGGATCGAGCCCCGCAATGGGCTCCCTGCTCCGCAGGAAGCCTGCTTCTCCCTCTCGCACTCTCCTGTTCCCTGTCTCACTGTCTCTCTCTCTGTCAAATAAATAAATAAAATCTTTAAAAAAAAAAAAAAAGAATCTAGAAGATATGAACAATCCCTGATATAAACTTGATCCAATGGATATACATAGAACACTACACAGAACAAATATGAAACAGACATTCTTTTCAAACACACATAGAACATTTCTCAAAATTGACCATATAATGAATCCTAAAACAAGTCTCAACAAATTTCAAAGGATTGAAATCATACAAACATATTTATAGTGAAAATATAAGCTAGAAATCAGTTACAAAAGTATAAATTAGAAAATATTCAGATGTTTGGGGAAAAAAACACAACTAGATAATCCACTGGTCAAAGAAAAATATCCCACTAGAAATTAGAAAATGTTTAGGGGCGCCTGGGTGGCTCAGTCAGTTAAGCATTTGGCTTCAGCTCAGGTCATGATCCTGAGGTCATGGAATTGAGGCCTGCACAGGGCTCCCTGCTCAGAGGGAGAAGCAGGCTCCCTCTCCCCACCCTCTACCCCCATTAGTGCATCTCTCTCTCTCTCTCAAATAAGTAAAATCTTGAAAAAAAAAAAAAGAAAGAAAGAAATTAGAAAATGCTTAGAACTGCATAAATGAAAATAAGACATATTGAAACTTGCTGGAGGCAGTTTAAAACAGTACATAAAGGGAAATTTATAGCCTAAAATCCATGTATAGAGAAGCTAAAAGGCTGAAAACAATAGGAAATTAAATTCAAAATGAGTAGAAAGAAAATGATAAAGAACATAAAATAATCAAATAGAGAGCAAATATAAGATCAATAAAATTTAAAGTTGGTTACCTGAAATAACTAATGAAATTAATAAACTACCTACGTACTGTAGGTAGGTAGGTAGGTAGGTAGATTGAGGAAGTGCTTGAAAAGAATGGGGGGCATGTCAAAAGGAAACAGG